TCTCTCTCTCTCTCTCTCTCTCTCTCTCTCTCTCTCTCTCTCTCTCTGTGTTTCTAGATATATATGCTGTGTGTGATGATGCAAGGGGACCAGGGGGGATACCAGGTGTCTTGTTCTATCACTCTTCTTTATTCCCTTAAGACACAGTCTCTCACTGCATGTGGAGATGTCCTGTCAAACTGATTTGACTGGCCAGCAAGCATACCCCCAGTGTTGGAGTTATAGGTGTTTGTGGCCATGCCTGGGTTTTTACATGGGTGCAGGGGATTTGAACAAGGGTTATAATGCTTGTATAGTAAGTGTTCTTACCCACTGAACTATAATTCTTAGCCCTAGATATATAACTCGGATTCAAATAACTTAATTCTTTTACTTGTCATAAGTTTAGTTAGTAAAATTTATAGGGCCCTTTTTCTTTTTTTAAGTTAAAAAATTATCTTTAATTTTTTTTTTTTACAGTCTAGTCATTATCCTCCTCTGGGTCTGCCCTCCAACAACTCCTTATCCCATTCCTTCTTCCTGGTCCCCAGTCTCCAAGAGAATGTCCCCCCCACACATACCCGGCAAGACCTACCCACTCCCCATTCCCTGGGGCCTCAAGTCTCTTGAGGGTTAGGTGTGTCTTCTGTCACTGAGGCCAGACCAGGCAGTCCTCTGCTGTATATGTGGGAGCTCTTATTCTTATAAAGCATAGTTTTTTTAATAAGGAAAAGGGTATTTACTTGTTAGACTTTGAATATATTAAAAGCAAATTAAAGACAAATTTAACAAAGTAAATAAGAGAACTCAGAAATAGTATAAGAACACATGGGCCCAACTTATGTACTTATGCTTTGTAGACGTGATATATGTATGTATGTATGTATGTATGTATGTATCAGTTATGTATTATTTTGACCTAAGTAGTCCCCAGACTGTTATTTTCTAAACAAAATGGTACTGGTGACGTTTTGGATTTTTAGTAAAACAAAAGGTCATTCTTGACCAAATTGGATTAATTTAATATTTTTTCTCCTTTGATGTGGGTATGATGGGATATGTTGTTTGTACCTTTCTTGATTTTTTATTTATTGCTTTGTCATAGTCATCTGTGATCACTCAGTATAGTGTTCCTTATTATCCTTGCTTGAATTCCACTAGCTAAACCAGAGCATTTTCTTAATTTTATATTTCATGCTGAGCATAGTATATGTGCACTTTAAATATTGGTTGATTTGAGTCTACCTTTCTGTATCATTTTATTATGTGTTTTTAAAATGAGAGAGAATTCTTATATGGAGAAAGACCGTGATTGGAAATGTAAGGTCTAGGTGCCAGCAGACTTAGTTCATACCTCAGGCTGTGGTGGGTGATTAATTAAGTGATTTTTGGAAAATCACTTCCTTTCTGTCAAACCTCCACTTATTTGTAATACAATAGGGTTAGATTTTATGACCTTTAAAGTCCCTTCTAATTTATCATTCAGTAAATCTGTAATGATTAGGGCTATATTTTCCTCAAGAGCATGTAATATAAGTGATTTATAGCTGCAGTGACAAACACAGACATAAATTGCAATCTTAACTGTGTTTAGAATCTAATAGGCTTGGTCAGGCCTTATAAAGGCAGCACTTGTAGATCTGATTCTGTTTTCTAAACTAAGTGATAATTACGATTAGAAGTTGTTCTATTTACCAGGGCTCACAGAGCCTCCTCTATGCTCTTACCCCTGTTAAGGTTATATTTCTGCTTCTGATAGTACATATTTTCATATGAAAATAGCTTTAATAGCTTATACTCATATAGAGCTTGTGTATCTATATACAATGAAATTTCTAAAATATATTATACAGTTACATATACTCACTGGATAAATTTGAAGATAATGCTGTAAAGTAAATGTCATTGTTATCCCAGCTTCACATTTGGGAATATTGAGGCAAGGAGAAACAACTATCTATGGGGTTCATTAAACTTTGAAGTTATTGTCCTTTGTTCCTTTTTATCATTTCCTGTATCAGGTACCCATCTTGCTTGATTATGTGACTCCAGTCATTTAGCCGCCCAGGTCTTAGTGGATGCCTGAAATCTGCTTTGCAAAGTTTATGAGAAAGAATCTTGTATTGCCAGGAAAGAGTGTCTTTTCCTTAGTGTGGACAAGTAGAAAGATTTTTTTAAAATTTTGTTTTATTTAAACTAAGTGGAGTCAGTGATGTAAAGATACCAAATTTCACTTAGGACAACTGTTATTTCCTGTATGTTTTTGGAAAACTTCTTAGTCTTCTGGGATCCAATGTGCAAAATTAGGTCATTTGTTTTAGATAACTTTTGAGTTCAAATGCCTGGAAGGAAATAAATTTGCTCTCTTCTCCCTAGTGATCAAAGTTGCTCCTGCATCTCTGTTGGTTGTCAGTTGTATCTAACTACCTTTGAATATATTTCCTATAATAAATCAAAACTATTTTTGATGAAATTAATACTATCAAAATACATGGTTTTGTGTTAAAAAAAAAAACTGGCCATGTAGTGTATTCATCTTGTTTGATTGAAACGTTTGTTAACTGGTGGATTCTTGTATTCTATTCTTTTATTCCCTGACCTCTTACTCCTTTATTCTGATAATGTGACTGTTTTAGGTAATTCATGTATGGAATGATGCAGTATTGTCTTTCTGTGATTAGCTTATTTCACTCAGCATAATGTTGTCAGTATACATCCATGCCATTAAAAGTTTCTTCTCTTCTAAAGATGAATTTTACTCTGTTTTATGAATAGCCTGTCTTTTGTCAATGGAGGCTTATAGTTATATCCTATATTATTATTTATAAAAAGTTCTTTGTTTTATGAAGGAAGACTGCTCTTTTTTTAAAAACTGGGAGTAGTGCCAACCCAGTCCCCCCACTACCACAAATTATGCAGTTAAGTTTCCCACAAGGAGAAATCACAGGGGTCAGCACATCTGGAGGGCAATGGATGAGTCTAGCCCTTGAAAGACCACCTTCTCGATCATTGTATCTTCCTTGTCAGTTAAGTATAAAGACTACTTCTTACAGATAAGGCAAATCACTACTTTTTTTCCAGGAAAGTAGAAAACAAACCTTAATTTTTGAAGTAGTTAAGAAAAATATAGACATAGAGGCAAAACTGCAGTAGTCTTTGAATGAATGAGGAGAGTTTTGATCATAGTTGCATCCATACTTAGCTG